TGTCCCCCCAAATTCCCCTTTTTCCCATTCTCCGCATTCTCCTACAGTCTTGCTCCCCTCATTCTAACTGACTTGCTTTTATTCCTGGACTTACCATAGGGCTATGACTTGGTAAACCCATTGTAAGTTAAAAATATCACAAGTGGAAAATGTACTTAACACATTTAACCTACTAACTGCAACAGCTTAGCAACACATTACACTGTGCAGAGGTTGTTTAGCCTGGTGATTTTGTGGCTTTCAGGGAACTGTGGTTCCCAGCTCCTCCCCAGCATCTTAATAGAATTACCTTGACAAAAGGTCAGAATTCAAAATCTGAGTTACAGTTTCACTGAATGAATATTACCTGAAACCCACCATTGTAATTTGAATGCTTTTATGTTGGGGATCCTCTGTAGAAGTGAAAGAGGTCTACTCAGGACCAGAGATCCCAAACTCATGATTTTTCTGCTATATTCCCCTGCAGACAGGATTACACTTATTAAAAGACATTCATAATTTAACTCAAGTCCTTAACTATTTACGATAAATTCTGAATAAGGGTGATCTCACTTTTTATGGTTGTTAGACAAGATCTTTCTACATACTAGACTTTGATCATCCCCTCTGGATCTACCGGTATTTCAACATCTGTGTTTGCAAGTACCTGTACATGTTTTGAGTACATATTGAATACAAAGTACATGTCACAGAATTCTTGCAGAGGGAGATGGGACACTGAGACTTTTTTTTCCAGGAAATAGCATTTATTTGTGCCAGCATGGGGCCCAGTGGGTTAATATCCAAAGGCTGAGCCCCAAACATACAATTTTTGTATCTTTGTGTCCCATAAATGGTAACACTCTAACATACTACAGCTTGATTGGGTACAGTCTATGTCACAGAGCAGTGCTAGAACTACACCTGTGTATCTAGGAACCATGAGCCCTGTTGTCTTTCTTGATTACGAGAAGGCTCCCCCTCCACTGCACTCCTTCGGCAGGGCCGGCCACACTACTCTGTGGAAGGGTCCTGCCACAGTATAATGTTTATTTTCCACAGCTTTCTAGGATATTTCAATTATTATTCAATGTTCTTTCAGTAGCAGGTCAGAAAATAACTCAAATAAACCTAAGTGCAAAAGGATTAATTGGCTTATTTTGTGAGGATGGTATAATCCATCTATTGGGGTGACCATTGTGGCCAAGTTCTCATGCCCTTGCAGGTGCAACCCCAAAGGAAGAAAATGCTTGTCTTTTAGAAGGTAGAGGATGACTGTCTTTTAGGTTTTCTATATTAACATGAATGAGTGAATGAATCCAGAGACGGAGCAGCTTAGGTCACATGCTCACATTTAATTCAATTGTAGCAGGGCAAAATGCTGCAGTTATTGTCAATCTAAGCAGACAGACCGGCTGTGTACTTGGTTTTGTGAGAGGGGATGGACCAGGGAAGCAGGGCAGATGGAAATGGCACAGATCCTTTATAAAGCAGAGCTCTTGTGCTCAACTGATACTCTCACTTAGACAACACTACACAGTGTGATCTTACCTAGATATGAAAGAGTAATTTAAAAGGCCTAAGCAGGTATTTTGCTGATGATTATAGTAATGCTTTGTAGTAGTTTTAGTTTGTTTCTATTTATTTTTAGGGGCTTCATAGTCCAAGGGTGGGTTTATTCCCCAGCCCTGTCTTATGGTGGTGCTTATCAAATTTGTTTGCTAATGTCTTTTGAAAGCTAAAAAAAAAAAGTGAATAATACAACCAGGGGCTTAGGGAGACAAGAAAATCTATTTATTTGAAGAATCTCAGCTTTTGTGTGTTTTTTTGGTACTGGAAATCGAACTCAGGGCCTCGAGCTTGCCAGGCAGGTGCTGTGACACTAAACTACAACCCCAGCCCAGAATCTCATGTTTTACCTAAACATTCATCCATACTTTTTCTGTTTTTAAGCTATATAGCTTACTGAATTTGCTAAGAGTAATGTGTTGTGATGAAAAGAGAATGGTTTACGCTCTATTTCTATCACTAGTTAGTTGCGATTTTTTAATATTATTTTATTTTTGAGGGTCTTGCTGTGTACTTCAGGCTGGCCTTGAACCCACTATGTAGTCTAAGATGGCCTTGAACTCGTGGTGATCTTCCTGCTCAGCCTCCTGAGTGCTGGGATTACAGGGGTGCACCACCACATCTGGCCAGTTGTGATTAATTTTAAATTGGTATTTTCCTTAATCTCCCAATTCCTGTTTCTTTCTCTGAAAAGACACCTACTTTATAAGGTTATAGGAATGAAATAAGATGGTTGTACATAAAATAGTAAGAACATAGCCCATACATCATGTTAAATGTTAAAGTTCTCTACTTGTCTTTTAAGACACATAAGTTAAATCAGTCAGCTGAGTTTCACATGGCTACCATTTAACACTCATTTGATGCCAAGCATGTTGTGCATGTGTGTGTGTGTGTGTGTGTGTGTGTATTATATATTTGGCTCTCCATATCTAAGGATTCTGCATAAGATGATTTAATCAAATATGGATGAAAAATATCAAGGAAAAACTATAGCTATACAGAACTTGCACAGAGGTTTTTTTTTTGTCATTTTCTCTACAATACAGTGTAGCAACTATTTACATAGCTTTTACATCATACTAGGTAGGAAATGATTTAAAGTACACAGAAGGATGGGTGTAGGTTATATGGAAACATTGCACCATTTTATATAAGGGGCTTGAAGATTCAAGGATTTTGTTTTCTGAGGACAGTCCTAGAACTAATTCCCTATAGATACTGAGGGACAACTGTGGTATTATCTCCATTCCTCATAAAAGTCCCACAAGGTTATTTATAACTATAATTTATTTTAAGCTGAGGAAACCAAGATAAATTGCTGTTTTCTGGAATGTGCTGTTCTCACTTAACCACTGTACACAGTATTTTGAAGATATAGGGATATTTCCAAAGGAAGTAGTTTTTAAGCATTATAGTTTAATAATTACCAAGAAGTAGGATAGAGAGTTTTTGTTAAAGGCAGATTCTGCGGCCTATATCCAAGGATTCTAGGTTTGGATAGGACCAAGAAAAATACAACTTTGACAAACTGTCCAAATCATTTGAATGCAGTTTATGCAAAATTCTTCAATTTGGTTCATTTTCTCTGTGCCCCTAGGCCAATGATGGTGAACTTTCAGATCTTCCAATGATACAAACCTATGGCACTCATGCCATAGGTTTGCCACCACTGCCCTAGGTCTTGATCTATAGGAGAAGTTTGAAGGCAGGTTTGCAAGGAGAACTAAAATTTAATTTAGATAGTAACACTCTGCTCACCATCAACTCTTCCTCCTCATCTCAAGATGATAATTCTCAGGTGACACCTCCAAAGATTCCCAGCAGGAATCTTTTTGTTGTCTTGAATGAACCTTCTTTGATCCGTTTAACTTTTAGCAGTAAGCAGATGAGGAGGTGCTGACAGGCTGCTCTTACACAGCAACTGCCAGGCCTTGTGAAACTGTTATGAATTGTAATCTCTTGCAACCTTGATTTTCTTATCTATAAATGAAGATGACACTTGTTTTATAAAATGACTGTAAGACTTAACACTCTGCCTAGCACATGGTTAAATATATAAATGGTAGTTAGTTTTAAATTAATTATTGAGTGAGATGTCAGGCACTCTGAACCAGCTCTCAGGCTAGGAAAAACTTCCCAGATTATTTTTTTGCAGATTATTTTTTTGGAAAATGTAATGAAAGCTATGGACCAGCACTATAAAAATATAACATAAGCCACACATATAATATTAAATTTTGTAGAGTCCACATTTTTAAAAGATGAATTGAACTTTAATAATAAATTTTACTTAACCAAATATAAAAAAGAATTGCAGCATGTCATTATACTTCCAACATATCTCAACTTGAGTACTAAAATTTCAATAAGTGAATTGTAGTCCTACCCAAAGTTGTGTTTAATGTAAATGTTATCCTACTTGTTTTTAAAGTTAATGAAATTTATATAAAACAAAAAAATTTAGTGTCTCAGTCCCAGTAGCCATATTTCAACTTTTTGATAGCCACATGTGGGTAGGGGCTACTGTTTTGGACAGGGAAGGTTTGAGTCTTTTCTTAAATTTTGCTTGCACTTCTAGGATCTCATGAAGTTCACTTTCGCTTTATATGTCCCTTGGCTAGTAATTGCTGGTTTCACATTTTAAAAGCCAATTCACAATGTGAAAGTCTACAAGCTTCTTTTCATGTGTCCACGGAACATTCACGTTTGCTTGTGAATTAGGCTACATCAGGCAACTTTATAGAAGCAGGAAAGTGGTTTCTTGATTTGGACTTCAGAGAAACAAGCCGAGGATAGAGTGGTTGGATCACTTTTGGTCACTGCTATCACGGCCTTCCGGAGTGAGGACAGATTTATTTAACCTCTATTTAGGGTTAGCGATTTTCACCTTCCTGACAAGCAAACTTCAGAGTTTGCGCTTCTCAGAGTATAATGGCCTCTCCAAGAATCAGCCAGGAGCCGCTGAACTTGCAGAGAGGGATTTAGCCAAAGGCCCTTTCTATTTTTAGCTAAGGCCACTGCTTGCCATCAAGTTTCTGGAGAGAGAACGCACCCAGCGACAAAAGAGATACTCAGAAGGCCAAACCTTTGCCTGGTAAGGCGAGAAATCCCCGTGACTACTCCTACCGAAACTCCACCGAACGATTGTTTTCCGAGGCTCCTACAGCCCTCCCCGCACCCTCGCCAGCCCAGGGGCGTGGCCGTCCCGGGGCGGGGAGGGGCGTGGCCGTCCCGGGGCGGGGCCGGGGCGAGGAGGCGGAAGTTCCCGCGGGCCTCCGGACGGCGCGCGACTCGCGAGTCACTTGTCAGCGCTCGTTTGAGGCGGAGGCAGCGCCCCTCGCGTCCAGAGGTGAGCGCCGCCGGGGTGGGGAGTCTCGGGTTCCCGGCCAGGCAGGGAGGAGGGAGCGCGGTGCCGGGCGCCGCTAGCGAGGAGGCGGAGGAGGGGCGCTCGGAGGCGGCTCAGGTGCGGCGGCGGCGCGGAACCCGGAGGGAGCGCGACCAGGGCGTCGCCGGGTCCCGCGTCCTGCGCGCCGACTGGAAAGGCGTGTTCGTTTGTGTTCGCGCGCTACCAGGCTTCCGAGAAGCATTTCTCTTCCTCCTCCTTCTCCCAGCGGTGGAACCTGTTTGAGGAAAACTTTCCGTGCGCGCAGAAATAAGCTCTCTTCACAAGTCTGTCAGAGCCCCAGATTCAGGGGTACGCCGGGCTTGGAGCGTGTGTGAGACGGCGCCTTCGGACGCCTGACGATCTGTGGAAGAGGGAAAGGAAGGGCATGCGGACGGCCGAGATCGAGAGCAGATGCGTGGCCGGCGGGGCAGAGCAGGTCTGGCTGTGTGTGACCCTAGATCCCTCAGAGCAGGTCCGGGGTGCGTGCGAACCCAGATCCCGCAGAGCAAGTCCGGGGGATGTGATCCCAGGTCCCTCAGAGCAGGTCTGGGTTGCGTGTGACCCCAGATCCCTCAGAGCAGGTCCGGGGTGCATGTGATCCCAGGTCCCTCAGAGCAAGTCCGGGGTGTGTGTGTGGCCCCAGGTCCCTCAGAGCAGGTCCGGGGTGCGTGTGACCCCAGATCCCTCAGAGCAGGTCCGGGGTGCGTGTAACCCCAGGTCCCTCAGCAGGTCTGGGGTATGACCCTAACCCCCTCCCCCGCTCCAAGCCCAGCGGGCTCTCAGGGCAAGTCCGGGGTGTGTGTGACCCCAGATTCCTCAGGCAGGTCCGTGGTGTCACCCCAGGTCCCTCCTGAGCCCACCTTCCCACCCCGCTCCGCACCCATATTTGGCCAGTGAGTGGAGGAGTGAGGCGCTGCTGGAAAAAGCGCCCTGGCTGCCTCCTTTCTTGCCTGTGGCTTTAAGATCTTCCGCTCTGCCTCCATTCTTTCTGCATAGGGAAAAAGCATCACTAGATATTTCTCCTTGATTTCTGGCCCTTCTTGTCACTGCAGTTAGCTCATCCGAGTTCTTTCTCCTCTCACCCACCAGAGAAGCTAGGATACAAATGTGGGAAACACCAGGCTTCTCTCCAGTTCTAGAGCAAAGACATTCAGACGACGTAAAATAAGATCGGCAACTGTACAGAAATTCCAGCGTGTTCTGTGTGTTTGAAAGAAGAATATAGACTGCCATTTCCTGCCTGCTTGGTGTTTAAGGACAGTTTGGGGCACTAATAACCAGATGAAGGACAACCAGGAAAGACCAATAAAAATATTGCCATTGCTTAGGGATCAGAATATTTTAAGATGAATGAATTCCCAGTGAAGCTTTCAGAAGGAGAATCTAGAAAAGAAACGACACCGGCTTTATAGTGTGGCTGTGACCTTCCCAGTGGTAGCAATTTTGATAGCAAATGGGACATATCCGGAAGGGGCTCCCCAAGTAAAGTTACTTGTATGTGGTATATATACATTTTCATGTAGGGAAAAATGGAATCAGAGGAATTTGCGCCTTTTACATTCCTTCCTTTGTCACAAGTTAAAAATTAAAAAAGGAGAACAGTAGCCAGCAAAATATCACTTGGCTTTTACACACTTCTGATTTGTATTGTATGCCAATACTAAAACTCTCTTTACTAGTTTCGTGAAAATCTGTTTTTATAGCAGGAAAAAACTTTCAGATTTTTGGTTTTCTCTGTGTGTTAACAATTTGACTTCTGGTGTGGGCTTTGGCTCTTCTATAAGTGGTCTGCCTGCTGCGTCAGTACTGTGTTTTTGCCTAGGAGTTAAGTGTCACTTTGTCATTGGAAAAACCCACTTACTTTCTAGGTGGATACAGTTCACATTGTTCATAAATTAATTTTTCTTGAACTAAGGCTTGTTTTAAATTATTACTTCATTTTCCCTTTTTGAGATGAAGGAATCTGTTTGCTTTATGTATACCCGGTGGTTTGAATATCCACATCTCCCACTATGAATTTGGTATGATGGGATAGAAATTTTGAATGGCTTTAGAAAATGAAGAAAATATTTTAAGATGAGTAATAGTATAAGATAGTGATTTTTAAGTGCTCAGACTTTCTAAGAAAGTTTCAACAGCTTTGTGTTAAAGTGTCTTAAAATTACAATTTCAAACACCTGTTGTAGTTTTAATTTTTTTTAAAAGGAGCTATTATGTCTCTTAGTATTATATTAAAAACTTCATTCCTCCCATTGTCTCCTATTGCTGTAACTATCAATTGGGAATTCCAAGTCAGACTTAAAAAAAAAAATTAAAAGTATTGTCATAGAGTCTTTGTGAGCACATTTATGGCAGAACAGAAAAAAAGAAAACGCTGAGGCACTGGTTCTTTTCTAAACCTCCAATTCAATTTCATCTGTTAGCCTTGTACCTCTGCCATTTTTAGTCATAGTCTGGTTCACTGGGTGGTAAATGCTTATTCTCTACTTTGTCTAATGAGGTATGTGTGTACAACAAAAAGCAGGTTCTGACTAAAATATCTAAACGGTTGCCAATCATTGCCTATCTGAAGGAAGGGCAAGTAACTGAGTGTAGAAAACACCTTGTCCCTATAATAGGGAAATGAGTTGTAGTTCATAATTGGAGGCAATGGTTTTGTGCGTTAAAAACCAATTTCTCATTTTAAGGAATTAAGTATTTAGAAAACCTGAATGGGGATCTACTGATTTTTAGTTGCTTTTGTGTGTTACAATTTAAGTGAACTTGAAGGACTCTTGCCAACTGCGTGTAGTGTGAGATAGAGGAAAAGGGAAAATCATTTTGAAGCAAGTCTGAAATAAAATCTTGTTTTTGAAGTGGAGGAATACCTTGGTGCATGCCCAGCATATGCAAGGCCCTGGGTTCAACCCCCAGCACTCTTGTCCTGCCTCCCTCCCCATACAATACTTAACAGTGTTGTAAAGTACATTGAATTGAAGTTTGTATTCAAGAAACCACAAAATTGGATTGTAGCAACTTGTAAAAGTGATGAAAGATTCTGATAGGTAATTTTTAGATTAAAATTCATATGAGTGTAAAAGTTTTATATTAGATAATAGACTCTTCTTGACTAAAATTGATGAAGAACTTAGTAGACTTATTCTTTATATCCCTTAACCCTCCCCAATACTGAACGTAGTTTAGTTGGCTTTGTATTAAATACATTTTGATGTAGAATAGGGTTTCAGGTAAATTTTTGCTATCTAATTTTCTTTCAGTTTCCTTCATATCCTGGCATTTGACTTTGAGCCATTGGAGCCATGAGCAACTACAGTGTGTCCTTGGTTGGCCCAGCTCCATGGGGCTTCCGGCTGCAAGGTGGCAAGGATTTCAACATGCCTCTGACAATCTCTAGTGTAAGCAAACTTTACAAATTTTATTACATATGTTCATTCAGTGCTCAGTCCTGGAAACCTCAGGGTTGAGTTGTTGATTTCTCTGTTGACTCATACTATATTTATTACAGTTGTTTGTGGGATGTTTTCTTGGGAAATTTAGTTCTCTAATAAAGGATGAAGGAAAGGAATTAGCAAAGATAATTATTTAAATTTAGCTTATTTTCAGCCTTCCCCATATCAGCAAAAATAAAATGGAAAGGCATTTATCTAGGGAGCAGAGTCTAAAATTTTGAACTGCTCCTAATTTGGGGAATTCTTTGAGCCTTGTTTTTTTCATATGTAATTTCATGAGATTGCATTATGAGATTTTTTTTCTTTTTTATTAGTATGTGTTTGCAGTGCATAATGATTACATTTATTGTGGGGAGTTTATTTGTGTACGTAACACATCTTAATTTTTTTTTGTTCCCTTTCCCTCCAGACCCTCCCTGCTCCCACCAACTCTTCTTTCCCTCCCCATTTGCAAAATCTCTATTTCCATTTTTTAACTTTTTAAAAAAAATTTTTTTCTTTCCTTCCCTAACCTTCTCCATCTCTTGTTCCCCTTCCGATTTGAAAAAGATCTTCCTACTTTTTAACACTTTTTTTTTTTTTGGCTCCTTATTTATACTTTGGGTTTCTTATGTTCTTTTTAGCTTCAAAGCTGTTTTATTAAGAATTATTGATAAAAATCAAATAAAATACCCAATTTTGGTGTTATTTCCTTGGCTCACTTTTCTGTGATAATCAGCAGTACAATGGTCAAAAGCTTCTTAACTTTGAAAGAAAATGATCTCCAACTAGATAGCCTATGAGTAATTGTGATTTGGCCTTTTATTTGTTTATGGATTTAGTTGAATGTATTCTGTGATATACCTTAACAATGGGTTTTCACGATGTTACTGATGAAGGGAATAATTATTGCTTCTACTTATTGCGGCTTGATTGTGTGTCAGACACTGTACTGTTTCATCATCAGTAGGTAATTATTAACTATTTATACTATTAATTGTCCGAGTCTTCAGAGGTTTTGTGTATTCAGATAAATATGGATTTCTTGTTTTAAATTTTTAATGTACATAAAAACATTAAATCATACATATTAATGGGGTACCATATGATATTCTGATAACATGTATACATTTCATAATGTTTAAATCAAGGTAAAACAGTTATCTCCTTAGACATTTATCATTTCATGATGGTGAAAACTAACAATCTTTTCTTCTGAAAAGAATTGTGAATTTCTACTCTTCTTTTAATCAAATAATAGCATATTATATACAATTCTGTACTTTGCTATTTTTCTCAACAAGTTACCATGGAGAACTTTCCCTGCTAATAAATAAGGAACCTCTTTTTATGGAAGTATCATTTATTTAATCCACTACTGAATGACTTTTTTATTCCCAACATTGCTGTTATCAATAATGCTGTAGTAGATATCATATAATTCATACATACATATAAGAATATATAAATCATTTTGATAAATTGTGTCAGTTTACACATTTATGTTATGCCTGAAAATATCTATTCCATGTTCCTTTTGCTCCAGTCCCAGTCTTACCAAGACTCCTTGGGATTTTTTTGCCAACTGTTGTAAATGTATCATCTAATTTTCATAACAATATGAAATAGGAGTATTCTCATTGTACAGAAGTGCTGTGAGCTCATGGCTTGTCTTGAAATGCTGACTTTCAAGCAGTTATGCTATGCTGCCTCTAATAATTCACTTTATCTTAAATTTAGTTAGATTATTTCTCTAATCAGATATTTAGAAGGCTCTAATTTTGTTTAATTATAGGTATATGTACATGTATAGATGTATAAATATGTGTATATACATACTGTGCATCTTACATGCTTCCTCTTGTCTGTATATACATCTTTAACTTGATTTGGAAGGATTAAAACTATGTTTGTATCACCTGGCATATATCCCCATTAAAATACTGCAAATACCCTTTTAACTAGAGAAGTTTTCATTATTTTTTGGTTGTGGATTTTCAAATAGTTACCTATCTTGATCTTCCCTGGCAGAAAATTTGAGGTGCTAGCTCCATGTTGTGATGCTGATACAACAGAACACTGTGTACATACATATGTGCCCTCCCCTGGCAAAGCAAAATGCTTTCCTTGTGTAGACAGAGTGCTAATTAAAGGATTTTGAACCTACTAAAAGAGACTATGGTAATAAAGCTGCTGAGTTATTTCTGTTCTCTTACAAAAGTCTCTGCCATGTGCTGTGACCTTTTTGGGCTTTGTGCAGTGGGGCATGCAATTCATTCTGGACTGAAGAGGAGGGGGAGGAGAAGGGAATGTTGGTTCAACTGGGCTGCTAGGCTGTTGGCCTTTCAGTATGGTTATTTTTAACCCCTTGTGTGGTTTAGTTTAAACATGCCTAGTAACATTGCTTAATGACAATTTGTGCCTGATAACTAATTTATATTGTGGTAAGATTATTAATGTTATACATTTTAAACTTTCATCTTAATTAGTCTTCTCATTATACTTACTCTGCTTTATTATGTAAAATTACTAGGATATTTTTCAGTGGTCACCATTTTCTTTAATTAATAGTATCAAGAAGCGATTAAAACCTAAAAGCATGCCTTAAAACATGTAATTTAATGATTCTTTTATTTTAAAGATGCATGTGAAATTCTTAGCAAGGTTTGGCACACAGCATTCTTTCATTTGCTACCTTTTTAAACAGCACTAAGTTAAAAAGAAAATTATTGAGAGATTTGAAACATTAAGTTCTCCACAGTTGTAGGAAACATGGCATTTTGAAAAATTTCTAGTTTGCTGAAATTGTAAAAGGAAAAATATGTCAGATGTTTATGCTGAACTGGGAATCTGCATTTTTGTTTTTAGAGTTCAGAAGTATATTATTTTTCCTTTGGTCAGATATTTTGTGAACTCCAAAGGACTATTTACATTCTTTTGTAACATTGAAACTCTGGGGCATCAAGTTGTGTTTTGAGATAAAAAAGCTACTGGTAAGGACTTGAACATTCTGTTTTCTTGAGGTTTTTGTTGTACCAGTATATGAAAATGCTGAATAGGACTTGCTTTGTAAAGAATGTAAGCTATAAAATTTTAACATGCCACTCAGATTTTTTAATCTAGATTGTATGAATTTTATATAATATTTTGTGTGTGGATTTCTGAGATCATCTGATTGGCAGTTCTTCCTGTTTTTGGAGGCCCTCAGATCACATGTCCTTTCCTTTAATTTGCTGTCTTTAAAATGTAGTCCTGACTACAGGAGTTTGCAGGCTTTCTTTTTATGACCCTGCATTTATGGGCATTGCCCTAAAGCCATGGAATGCCGGGATGGGTTTCATTGTAGCAATGTGGGTTTGTTGGTCTTTGCCAGTATATTTTATAAGAAGAAATAGGAGACTTGTTGCACAATTCAAGGCTATATTTTGGCAAGCTGGTGTTCCTCATGATGAAATTACAAGGAAAATTATATATTTGTGAGTAACATCTTCTAAGTTCAACATCCTAGAACTGAAATCATTGGCTGTATGTTATAGTCTGGTGTATATATAGCATTAAAGCTTTTTTCTTCATTGTCAGTATTTGGATTTACAGAAGATAATCTCTGAATTCTCCATAAACACATTTTGTATGTTTTTTTAGCAGAATAGAATGAGGCCAGACTTTGATTCTCAAGAGTTAAGGGGGGGGGGGGCCGGGGATTTAGCTCAGTGGTGCCACCACCTGCTTCTCAGATGTAAGGTCCTGAGTTCAATCTCCCTTACCAAAAAAAAAAGTTAAGGGAGGATAAATTGTTACAGATACTGAAAATATTTTAGTTGAATTTGAAAAGCAGAAGAAATTTTTCATTTCTTGTAGTATGGAGCCCTGTTTGGGAATATAATTCAGAGTAGAGTAAGATAAAATTGTGAAACACTTTGCTATGAATTTATTTATTCAGTCAGTACTAGAAATACTTCATAGAAGCCACTAAAGGTTGGTAGTAAAGAAATAAGTGCAGTGCTACAGTGCAAATCAGTGTCTTAAGACCCATCACAAGGCTGTCTAATGAAATGACAAAGATACTGATAAATATTTCTCATTTTAGTGGTTATAAATCTTTTGTGTAAGGATTGGCTTCAGAAGAAATTGATTGAAATGGTCCTTGAAAGAGGGAATTTGAACACCTGCACATCAACATTTTTCTGTTTTCAGTATATTGTAAGGGTGTAGACTGCCTGCCATTACTTGAATCTTAGTAAAGCTGTGAATATAGTTGAGTGATTCTCCAGACATGCCAGCTGCAGTTTCCCTCCTGGAGGAGGACAGAAAGACTTTCAGTCCTTTCAAGCTGAAATGGAAGAACTATCCTACCTTGAATAAATGGGCCTATTGTTAATTTTAAGCTATGAGTATTTTCTTTTACATTCCCTCCCAATTACCCTGTCAGTATGCCAAGTTGGAAAGCTAATTTAGTTTATGTAACTACATAAATGTGTATTTCACTTATATGTTCACTTTCCACTTTTAAAACATTAATTGGCTTTTGTATGTGGCTCAGAGACTTATCTTTTCCTATGTGGTAATTTTCCATCACTAGTGGTCACGTGTCAAGAACCTCAAGATAATTCTGAAGGTACTTTTACTGATAAATAAAAACCTTTTCAGTATGTTTTATTGAAAATTAAAAGTTTTAGGAAAAGGCTTAAGTTTTAATAAATGTCATTTGGGGAAGTTGTGTTTTAGAGGAATTTTACTGGTAGGCAGGAGTTTCATATTTGATGGAAGAAACAGAACAGTAGGGGTTGAGTAAAGTAAGAATAGCAGTTTAGACCTAAATAAAGAAGGTTGTCATATAACCTGCTTACCTACTCATGAGTTAAAGATACTATCACCTACTTAAACTGAGACTATTAATTAAAGCCAGTAGACTTATTTTCTGTTACTTTTGAGAAAAGAGATTACTTTTGTGGGGGGTGTGGATCTGA